GACCTCTTTTTTACTTGGTTTGAAGTGTAGCTTGAAGATCAAATGATTTCTTATATACATTATATGGAGTTTCAAGTGTAGATCGAACAAGGTTGCATCTTTTTTTGATATTTGTGAGTATAAAGCTTCAATGCTTATCTTTAAATCATTATATCGTATCTTATTTCATAAAATGCACTCTTTGGTCCATTTTGGTGTGATCCTGGAGTCTAGAGAACACCAACACATTTTGAGCAATTTGGGATACTCCTTGGACCATTTGACTACGAAGGTTAAGATCTTGTTCCTTCCATAAAGACCATGTAAGTGGGTTTTTTTCCTTTAAGTCACTTGATGTGTTTATTATAAAATTTTTAAATTTACACTCGTAATTATTCCACACAACTAAAACACAATATGCAGGTGTACCTAGTAGTGCACTAGTAGTGTAGAGTAAGTATGGAGTCTATCATAAAAAATCATAATATTTGGTGGAAGCATTACAATGAATCTGAAGATATTTCTTAAGGGATATTGTGTTCAGTTATTCCAGAACTCTCGGAGGAACTAGATGGCTTAAAATCATTTAATGTGCTTTGTCAGTTTAAGAAAATATTTTGAATATAGAAAGAATTTTGGTATGAACCAGCTCATACAGAGGAAGAATGAAAGGCTGAAAAGAGTCACCCAGTGTGCTCTAAAGGGCCATTAGTTCATGTAGAGTGTTCCATTAAGTCCAATAGATCCAAGAAGGCACACATAAATGGACTATGTTTCTACTGCGGCAGAACTGGACACTTAAAGATGAACTTCTCTTCTAATTTAGAAAGAAAGCATGGAAGAGACTAATACTTCATGTATTTACTAGACAGAACTCATACTTTTCATATAACACTTAGGTACTTGCTACTTAAATTTTAATCTATTATTTGTAATTTTCTTGAAGATATTTACTAAATAGTAACCAGCTGAGCACAATTAAGTTAGACCTACACTCTTGGAGTTTAGTTTATTAATTATCTTAGGAACATAATGTACATGAAATTTAAGAAACCAATTTTGCTTTAGAAAAATATATGTTTCAATTTAACTTACCTAAATATATGTCTCTTTTTAATTTATGAATGATTGACTATCTACTTAAATCGTTTTTCAAAACGATCACCTTCATATTCAAAAACCATTAAAATTATGTTTATGAGACTAGATCTCTTAAAAAGAATTATAAAGTTGCTATAAATATTCTATAATTAACAAGTTGTATATGAAAAAATACTTTTGACTTAAACTTGTTTTGAATCAAACTCATCTTTGACATTCTTATCTTTATTATATAGATAACTTTCACATATTCCAACTTCACGAAAGGGATCTTTAAAGGAAATTGTAATGTAGTTTATTTGGCATATGTAAATCTTATTTTTATATAAAAGATTCCTAATGATATTTTCACTAGGTAGTAGAGAAAATAATTATTAAGGAACTATACACTATGGTGTATGACTTCCTTTCTAATGAATGTTTAAGATTTAGCACAAGATACCAATTAAACTTATTAACAACTATAGTAGTTATAAATTATATTTTACATGTTAAAGTACAATTGTGAAATCTTTGTTTAAAGTTTAAAATATAAAGTAGAACGACAAACCGGTAATAACTATATAAGGCCTTAATATTAATAAATAATGAATTAGATCTTACTTGGTATGATTTACTTTCTCATCTTTATAAAGGCCCTCCTTTTATTTCCTATAGATAACACCTAGAACAAACTCAATTTTATAATTAGTACAAACGCCAACTAACTAGTAGATATAATGTTTTCTTCACAATATTTTTTAAGGAAATGATCGATCCCTATCTTACTTATATAGTTTATGGATTTAAAGCCTATTTTGGACTAAACCTTTTAATCCAAAATCTATTAAATACATATTATATAATACTCTAAATGTAGCTTACAATATTATATGCGAACCCACCAACAATAAGTTATATTATTCCTCTATTAGTTAAGTTAGTAAGCTTCTAATGACAAAGCAACTCGGAGGTACATGTAATTTGAAGCAACTCAAGAACCATAACCTGATGTAGTTATTGTTGGCACTAGTTTTAACAAGGATTGTTAAACTTGAATAATGAATATTTACAAACACAAATTGTTAACATTAGTGGTAGAAATAGTCTATGATTTGAGGAATGTGGAATTTCTTATTGATGAGCTTTTATTGATAGTTTTTGGAAAATCCATTAAATAGAAACATGTCGTGTAAGATATCTAATCTGATTGCTGACTTAGAGTCATGAATACATTACAATGATAAGTATACACATTTAAAGCAATACTTGTTATAAAATATTTCTCATATTCATGTCATTTACTATGGTCTTTATCATACTCATAACTTTGACTATGCTCAAACTTTGTCATAGGTTGCTATGATTAGATCTATAATGAAAATGTTTACTATAAATTCATATTCTCAATATGAGATATAGTGAATACATTTCAAGGAAGACGGTTTTTCTTAATATGCATCTACTGAAAGATATCTACATAGATTAGACAAGAGGTTTTCTTAATCCATGTTATCCGAACAAAATATGTAAGACCCTGAGTCCCACTTGTGGATATAAAGTAAACATATCAATGTTGCAATCATCATTTTAAAGTAAAACCAGAAGGAATACTTTTATATCAAAATGAATAGAACATGCATGTTTATTGATAAATGGTGGGAGTGTAGTGATATTCTTAACAGTTTATGAGTAAGACATACTTAATCATAAAAATTACATTATAACCATGTCATGCTTTTTCACCTTGACTTGGAATGTGTTTATTGAGGAAGAACAAGATACATTAATGGAATGTAAAATCCATATAGATAGATAAAATGAGTGTTAAAATTTTTATACATTATTTACATATTGGCAATATCTTGAAAGATATCAATATAGAAGATTTGTTTAGAAGAACCTTGGCATTGTTACATGGCACTAATGTTTAGCAAGTATCAAAAAACCTAACTCATAGATTTGAACTAGCTAAACATTGTATATTCGATTTTCATGGAAAAAGAAACCATCATTTATGCCATATTATGCATAAGACTTGGTATATCATCATGCTATGAGCATATCACAATATAACAATTAGATACATGGTTAAGTCACTGGAACAATATAGGAACATTCTAAAAGAGCTTTAGAAGAACTAAGAAAATGTATATGAGACAATTAGTTTAGAATAACATCTTCATGTAAAGAGCTACAAAAGATTCTTATTTCTAAATAAATAAAGATAATGAAGAATTACCATTGGATTATGACTTTATTATGAGATAAAGAGTAAGCTTGGCTGGAAGGAGGTCCAATAAAAACAAAATGATATAATCTACTATGAAATAAGAATACACTACTTTAGAAGTTTAAATCTAATATGATTGGATGAATGAGTTGATTGAAAAACTATATTGATTTCTGCCATTCAAGGATCACTATGAAATCTTTGTGACTCTGAGACTATGCTTAATCAAGATAAGAGAAGTTGTGCCATGAAAGAACACCAATCATATACTCCAAGATATTTAACTATACCTAGAGCAAACTCAAATATGGATACGATAGTAATCTCATAATTCACAGAAATAAAGTTTAGTCGAACCCATTAATAAAGTCATTATTTTGATCTAAGTATGAGCGATCACACTTTGGCAATAAGAGTTCATTATTTTATAACTGATATATTGATTTGGATTTATTATTTAAATATTAGATCATTGTAACAACAAGTATTATATAATATTTGAAACACTAGGATATCATCATAACAATAATACTTGTTGTGTTCTATATTAACATGTTTAATCCATGAATAATCTTATTATTCTTAGAGTTAATAGTTGGTTATAATTATGGGAGAAATTATGAAATAAGACTAATATGAATTGTATTAGTTGACTTTCACTCAATGAAGGTAGGAAATTGGTTGTAACTACTTGATTAAAAGGGTACTATCTTTCTATTCTTAACACATGAGCTACATATTTGGACTTAAGTGTAAGGAGCACTAGCTAAGATATGGTTGAACGTTGGTCCTTCACTAGATAGTTATAAAATCCATAATTAGTTATGGTGTGAGCTACATGAGAGGCTTATGTAGTAAAGACGAGACGTTTTCCTCTTATGTGTTGAGAGTTAGACATCTAAGGCACCTTACAAAAAGTTGAACACCAAATGAGATTGATCGCGATCTGTATCTCATCTTCAACTAAATGTATGTGCCAAAGGGATAACGGATAAACACTACTAGAAAAAAGGCCTTTTACGATGCTCATTGCGTGTCGTAAAACGCTTAGACGATGCGCAAATGCGCGTCAAGGAAGGCCCTATCATAACGAGAGACGACGTGTTTTTGCGCGTCGTCTAGAGACGATGCACATTTACGACGCGCATTTATGACATGCAATGCGTATCATTAAATCCGCTGTCAAGAATGGTCATGTCATAAATGAAGATGACACACTTTTTTGCGTATCATAATTTTTATTTTTATTTTTAAAAAAAAAATATTTATACGTTTACTAATTTTCAAATTAAATTTGCATTTAGTGTCTCATAATAGAAAATAAATTACCATATACATAAAAATACAATCCATTGCACACAAGTTAATGTCATACAAATAATCATTCCAATAGTAGACAAATTGATAAATCTCAAAGGGTTCAAAAATATGTTTGCCTTCTCAACATCTCAACCATATCTTCTGCAGACTTGAATTTTGTCTTGAACTATTAGGAGATTTATAATCCAAATTGTGCTTTGTACCTTATACAAGAAAAGAAATAAATATAAATGTCAACTAATCAATCACATGAATATTTACTCAGGTATCATAGAGAAAGTTGCTTTATATTTTAATGGCATGCCTATAACTTTGTAATAGGGAGAATTTAAGAAAACAAACATATAATGATATTGTAAATAAGTTGATGAAAGTATGTTGTTATTTCTTAAATGCAGCCAATGTTGAGAGCATATGAGAGGAATGATAATTGACCAAATGCCATCCCACAATTGACTGCATACACCACTGATTTGCAGTACTTAAGGGCAATTTTGGAAATTAATAAATGATATCAGTAAATAACCTAAAAAAGATAAAAATGAATGATTTTGATTGCTTACAGCCATGATGTCAACAATGGCGTATGCTTCTGTTTCAGACCGCACTGTCTCCATTTTATCATTCTACAAAAGAAAAGAAAAATCAAAATCTTTATTGACTTATTTCTTGTATTTAGTAATTTAACCTTAAAAGAAACAAAAAAAGAAAAAAAATCACCTGTGTTCCGGATGAATTAATGTAAAGATAAATAGGCTTAGCTGGATAATTATAATCCAACCATATAAAATGGGCAACAAGAAGCTCAGTCACTGCAGGAACAATCTACAACAACAAAAATTATACTTAAATTCATTATAAAATAAAGAATTTAAAAAAGATAAAATAAAAATATCGGCGCCTAACACAAACCTCTCCCCCAAAGTTGCAGGCTCTGTGAGGCCATCACAACACCACATCTAATTGAACCACTTTCATTCCCACATATCAACATTTCTTCATCTTCCTGCCACGTTACTTTCAGATAAGTAATCAATCTTGAGTATCCAACTGTCAAGTTAGGTTAAAACTTAGAATCAACCACAAAGCTCTTTCAAGCCCTTCTGTTGTATACTGACTCACCTGCACTACAAAACATAATTCCACAAACTCTTTCTTTCGTTTTTTATTTATTTTTATTCTTATCCTCTTTTCCTTGAAAATACTGTTCTGGGATCTTCACCTTGTTATCAACAATACAAGGCGTATAACCTCTAGTTAGATTATTTAACAACACTGTTATCTCCTACAAAGCACAAACAAGTTAAATGTTTAAGAAGTAAGACATACTTGATCTGCATTTTCATCTGCTGCAAGTACTATTATAGCACGTGCTTTTGAAACTGAAAGCTAAGAATATCAAAAGAAATTAACAAGAAAGATTTGAAAAATATGGTAGGCCCCAGTGTACCTGATTTACATCTGACATCCCCTTCATGGGAAAAGACAGTGTGGGTCAGCTTTAAGATTGTTGGAATAATAACACTTTTTGCAGAAGTGTGTATGCTAAAGGTGCGAAAAAAAAGTAAAAACGAAAAAAGATTTCAATTTTACCTTTTTCAAGTCAGCAAGTATAAGAGGACTACCACTTCTGCATATAACTAAAGTGCCCATGAAGTTGAACTCAAGTTTTGCTATATCCATCTCCATCTCCTCCTTGTCACTTTCCGCCAGGACAACCACCACACCACCACCAATGCTCTTGTTTGCTATTGCCAGTTGCTTCAAAAGTGAACCCTGTAGTAGACCAAAACATTATCTTCTTTTGACCTTTGTGCATAAAGTAATTAAATACCAAGACTTATTACCAATTTGTCACTCCATCCAAGAACAAGTATGTGGTTTCATTCAATGACTTCACTTTTCGCTTTTCATAATGAATCTACTTTCTTTGAGATAGCATCTGAAACAAGCCCTAGCATCATTGCAAAGATCAACATCCCTCCTGAACTTATGGTGACTGAAACAATTCTTGATCCAGTGCCAACTCTACCTGCATGATTCCCTGAATCTGCCACAAATGTCCAAGAAATCCAAAGGGCTTCTGCAAGACTACCATCACTTACAGTATAAAGTACTAAACCACCAAATGCAATGAGAAAGATGGTTACAAAGAGAAGAGCATGTAGTTTTGCGTAAGGGTAGATAGAGAAGCAAAGATCCACCATGTATGCAATTCTTTTCTTTAATGGAACCTCTTCTTTGTTATTATTTGAACGTTTTGAGAGGTTCTTGATTTTAGGAAGATCATCAAGATATTTTTATAATACAAAAAGTGTCACAAGAGTAAATAGAACAGTGTAGAGAGCAATGTTTCGTCTGTCAGTGTCACTTTCATGTTTGAAAATCTCCATGATTTCATCATGAGGAATGTCTTTATTCAAACAAGTTGTATGAAGCTCATAATTCTCTTTCTGTATGGAGAATAAACAGGCTTTTACAAAATCATCTGTTTGCAAGAGTACAGAGTCAAAGAACTTGATACCTAAAGCTTTCTGACTTCATTCCTTAATGTTATTGCATAAGATGCAAACACTACACATAAAAGTGCAAGCTGCATTAAGAAATAAACATGGCATCATTAGACACTAAGCATTAAAATGCGGGATAGATGCTCTGAGGGCTCCCTGCAGAATAACAACATGACATTATAGACTTATAAACAAGATTCAAGTGATAAGTTCAGTACATTTAACTCACACAAACAAATTCGGATTTTCAATGGGAAATTAGGAAATGGAACACAGTTTAGTTTTATATACCTGCTCAGATTAGGACTGTATACATATAAAGTCTAATAGAGAACAATCATTCATCAGGTTACGTATCAAGGAACTCCTGATCCTGGCATTTTTACGAGAAGGAGAAGATGAACTCAGGGAAGATGAAGAAGTCAAATTAGAAACTGGAGCTTGAGCGAACACTGGCAGAACGATTCTCTCCAATTTAGAATCTGACCCCGGTGCTGGTGAATGTGACGTACTCGCACTCGCATTAGCTGATTGCATTTCGTTTCCCCCTGTGGTAGCTAAAATCTTAGGCATTGAAGCGCTTCGAATCGGAGAAGGAGAAGGAGACGAAACAGGCGGTTGTTTCCTCCGATTATAGAAAAAAGCTTTTCTCGAAAAAAGCTTTCCATGTTTATCCTTTCCATGTTTCTAATTTATCCATAATTTTATGATCTATGTATAGCTCTATGGCGTACACCTTAACTCCGATTATAGAAAAAAGATTTTCTCGAAAACCTAGCAAGATTAAGATTTAAGAGAGATTGAGAGGGAGACTTGAATCTGTGAGGTTTGGAGATGGTGGAAGTGGATGTACGGTGGAGACGAAGGCGTGTTAGGAAGGGGAGATATGGGATAACATAATAAAGAGACAATAAGGGAAACTAGAGAGTCGATGTTGGTGGTGGCGATTAGGGCTTCCCAAGGGAAGGGATATAGAGTGCAAAGGTAGAGAAAGACAGCTGCTTTAAAAGGATTGACAGCCTCACAATTCTATTAGGGTTCGTTTCTAGAGGATTGTAGAAAGAGAAGAAGGAAAGGGATGAGATGGAAATACGAGAGTGAGAAAAAATTAGGGTCGGATTTAGGAACCCTAAATCATCGGCTCAAATTGATAATTGGAAGGTAAGAACCCTAAATCCTCAGCTCATTAGGGTGGAATTAAGAGTGTAAGAACTTGTTGGAACTGAGAATTAGGTTTTTGGTGGAGGTGATGGATCGAGGAATTGAGGAAGCTGTGGATGAAGACGAATGCCCTAATTCGAAGAGGCGGGGAATTTTTGGGATGAATAGGCGGGGGGTTAATTTTTTGGATTTCATTTTTCCCCTAAAAACGCGTGTTTCCTTAAAAGAAATATATAAAGCTAAACTATTACACGACAAACATTTTTTAATAGGTGCCCTCCGTATTTTTTTTTCGAACACTAATTTTAGGGTACGCAAAAATGCGGGTCCTCTCTCCTTCAAATTTTGGAAAACTGACATTAATTGTTGGGGAACGCACAAATGCACGTCTTCTATCAGTGTGTGTCATTAATTGCGCATCGTAAAAGGCTATTTTTCTAGTAGTGAAACATACCTTGTACACCAATTATAGCTTGGATCTTTTTGGGAATTGGACGTTAGTAGAATGGCACAAAGTTGTATGTTGACGGGGGCAGTGAAATGTTGATATCCGTTCACTATCGTTTGTATTGATCTAATATGAGTCTTGCAAAATTGGGAGATTGAAAGATCTATTGTGCTCAAGAGTCATATTGTAACGTCATAAAATTTCCAACCAAAAATTTTCATTTTTACAACCATCAAAACATGAGTAATAAGTTTAGATTCCAAAGTAACAATGTAGTCACAACCGATTACATAACAAAAGATAAAATAGCTTTCCCCGAGTGTGTGTACGGTCATGCTGGCGCCTTCCCACGGTCCTCACTCGTACCTGAAACACATAATGCAACAACTGTAAGCATAAAGCTTAGTGAGTTCCCAAAATACAACATACGCACATACGCCTTTCCAGGCCTTGACCTTCCGGTCCATGTGTCTCAGGGGACTTCCGTCCCGACTGGGTAAACCTTCCGGTCCTACCCACGTCAACCCTTATAGTCCATATGACCACGCCTTCCGGCCCATATCAAACATATCATACATGACACATATAGCAAATAACTTAACACACATAAGGCATATATTTCATATCATATTCGACCTTCCGGTCACACAGTCAAAACCCTTCCGGGTACAGTATAGTGAGAAGACTCACCTCGTATGCCTCGCTAAGTCGCTAATCGTGAATCCTGGAATCACTCGGGCTCGAACCCTCGAGCTGCAATCCTCCTATGATATTATAAATCTATAATTATTACTTGTACCACTAAGGTGGACCATCCATATCAAGTCAACACAGGTTGACTTGGTCAGCAGTCTTTAGACAATTTGGACCAGACTCGGCGAGTGCACAATAGCGACTCGGCGAGTCTACGCGTTTTTACCAACTCTCAAGAATTTTCCCTTTGACTCGTCGAGTACTCCCCCGACTCGACGAGTTCCACCTGGGCCTGAATCACAGGGCCACCGCGACTCAACTCGCCGAGTCGAAGGTCAACTCGGCGAGTCCCAACCTGACTCGGTCCACCTGTCAAAACCTTTCCAACTCTCTGCGACTCACTGAGTCGCCCACAACTCGGTCCGGACTACACACAGGATGGTCTCAAGGACAATCTTCAAGCGACTCGTCGAGTCTGTTCTTCAGACTCGGCGAGTCCATGCCATGCACCAGCTAAAACTGGCTTTTGCGGTCAGATCCGTTCCATACATACATAGATCTGGCCTTCCCAAGCTTATTTGTCACGTAAAGTCTAGTCTTGGTTGCCATGCAATGCATACAAGGCTTACTTTGAAGAAACAACCACTTATTTGGCAAGTTTAGCTTCTAACTCAAAAGAATGGACATAAAGCTTGTCATGAGGGGTCTCCTGGACCTGCTTAAGTCCAGATCTAGGTTCCATGTCTCCATGGGACCTCTCATACTTCTTATTCAAGCCAAGAAATGCAAGAAGAAACCCTAGATTTGGCCCATCAACACAAAACACGAAGATTGGCTCAGAAAATTACCTCAAGAAGACCCCCTTGATGAAATAGCAACAGATCTAAGCTCCCCAACACTTCAAGCTTGCTCCTCTCCCTCCTTTCCTTGCAATATCACACAAAATGATGAACAAAAGGCCTTCAAACACACTCACAAGGGCTTACAGACGTATGGAGGCTCTTAGGGTTCAAGGTGGCCGCATATGAGGGCCATAAGGTCCTTTAAATAGGGCTTAGGACCGGGAAATTAGGGTTTCATCAAACAGCGCGGACTCGCCGAGTCCATCCCTTGGACTCGCCGAGTCCGGATGCGAACCCCCGCTCAAAAACGCGACCCGACTCGGCGAGTCGACTACCAACTCGCCGAGTCCCCTCACAGAATGACAAAAATATATGAAATGAAGATACCTGGGGATTCGGGCTGTTACAAATCTCCCCCACTAGAATAAGACTTCGCCCTCGAAGTCCCGCTTAGGCAAAAAGCTCCGGATGCTGCTCCCGCATCTCATGTTCCGGCTCCCAGGTCATCTCTGATCCCTTCCGATGCTGCCACTGAACCAATACCAGGGGTACCTCCTTGTTTCTCAAAACCTTGATCTTCCGATCTTTGATGGCCACAGGTCTTTCAGCATAATTCAGACTTGCATCCACCTGAATATCCCCTAACGGAACCACCGCTGATTCGTCGGCTATACATTTCCGCAGTTGCGACACATGGAAAGTATCGTGAATCTGTCCCAACTCTGCTGGCAAGTCTAAACGGTAGGCTACCCGACCCACCCTTGCGATCACACGGAAAGGACCAATATACCGGGGCCCCAACTTGCCCCTCTTCCTGAACCGAATCACTCCTTTCCAAGGAGAGACCTTCAGGAGCACGAGATCACCAACTTGGAACTCAAGCTCGGACCGTCGCCTGTCTGCATAACTCTTCTGCCGGCTCTGAGCGGTCAACAACCTTTGCCTGACCATCTGAATTTGCTCGGTCGTCTGAAGCACGATCTCCGTGCTACCCATAACCTGTTGTCCCACCTCACCCCAACAGATGGGGGTGCGACACCTCCGCCCATACAACAGCTCAAAGGGCGGCATACCAATGCTCGAATGATGGCTGTTGTTATACGAGAACTCTGCTAAAGGTAGATAGGTGTCCCAGCTCCCTCCGAAGTCCAACACACATGCCCGAAGCATGTCCTCGAGTGTCTGAATTGTCCGTTCACTCTGGCCGTCTGTCTGAGGATGATATGCCGTACTGAAATGTAACCTAGTACCCAACTCTTCATGGAATTTCTTCCAGAACCTGGAAGTGAAACGCACGTCGCGGTCCGAAATAATCGAGATCGGCACCCCGTGCCGAGATACTACTTCCCTCACATATAACTCAGCCAACTTCTCCGCAGAAGAGCTCTCACTAATAGCTAGAAAATGAGCGCTCTTTGTCAGCCGATCCACAATTACCCAAATCGCATCGACTCCTCTCGCCGTTCGCGGTAACTTGGTGATGAAATCCATAGAGATTTGTTCCCACTTCCATTCGGGAATCTCTAGCGGTTGCAGCTTACCGTGCGGTCGCTGGTGTTCGGCCTTGACCTGCCGACAAGTCAAGCACCTCTCGACGAACCAAGCGACATCCCTTTTCATACATGGCCACCAGTACTCCTTCTTGAGATCCAAATACATTTTCGTAGCACCAGGATGAATCGAGAATTTCGATCGATGTGCTTCCTCCATCAAAATAGTGCGCGCACCGCCCACAAACGGCACCCAAATCCGTCCCTGACAAGTCATAAGCCCTCGACCATCCGTAACAAATCCTGATACCTGACCTACCACCCGTTCCTTCTTCTGGTGTTCCGGCTTTGCAGCCTCCATCTGAGCCCCTCGAATAATGTCCAGAATCGGGGTCAAAACCGTCAACCTCATACAAATATCTCGGATAGGGGCGCTATCCGCCCTACGGCTCAATGCGTCGGCTACCACATTAGCCTTGCCCGGGTGGTACAGGATCTCACAATCGTAATCCTTCACCACATCCAACCACCTCCTCTGCCGCATATTCAGATTTGGCTGATCCATCAAGTATTTCAAGCTCTTATGGTCCGTGTAAATCGTACACCGAACCCCGTACAAATAGTGTCGCCAGATCTTGAGGGCAAACACCACCGCCCCCAATTCCAGGTCGTGCGTGGGATATCTCGACTCATGAGGCTTCAACTGCCTCGAAGCGTACGCTATCACATGACCCCTCTGCATAAGTACCGCCCCCAAACCCGATATAGAGGCATCACAGTATACCACAAAATCCTCCATCCCTTCCGGGAGTGCAAGCACCGGAGCCTCGCACAATTTCTGACGAAGCGTCTCAAATGAAGACTGCTGCTCCGGTCCCCATGAAAACGCAACACCCTTCCGGGTCATCCTAGTAAGTGGCACAGCGATCTTGGAGAAAT